TAGGTAAACCATACAGACTAGGTGTGGCCTCCCCTGGGTACAGTCTGTGGTACAGAAAACGGTCAATAGCCTTGTCCTGCTCCAAAATTTTCAGGCAATCTATCAATTTCTTCTTGTAACCACTTCCTGGATCTCTTTTCAGAGGTTCATAAGTGTTTAAGTCACTAAGGAGTGTCATTACTTTCTCATGATAGTCTTTCTGGTTCAAAATCACTGTTCACCTTCCTTTGTCTGCTGGGAGAATGATGATGTTTTTGTCCTTGCTAAGAGTGGTGAGTGCGTCCCTCTCCTCTCTACTGATGTTGGAAGGTGGTGGTGGCAATCCTGGCCAAAGTGGTTCAAAATATCGTGATGCATGCTCAATAATCCAGGTAGAAAAATCTAAAAAAGTTAAATCTTGTCCTCTGGACATTCAAAAAAACAAAACAAAGCAAAACAACAAAAAAAAATGTAGAAACGTTTCGTCTCTCATCCGAGAGTCTTCCTCAGTCTGAGGTGCTGTATTCAGCTCAGTCTCTGGAGTAAAGGAGGCCATCTTTGTGAAAAGAAATCGTCCATCGTTAAACAGGGGTGGAGGCCTACGTGTTCAATTGTCCCCCTCTTACAATGCTGTGATTGTGAATTGTGATTTAACTTTTTTAGATGTGTAGATTACTCGAGTTCTCTGTTAATGCCCTACCCTCTACCAGCATGCAAAGAAGACAAACTAAAACACACATGTATAAATAATCACTACAGGAGCGGACAGAATAAATGAAACTTATAGAATAGATTTATTGCAAACTTTAAAAGGTAACCAGGGTGACAGAAAATATAATCTAAGGTATGTGATTTGTGACAGAGGTACCCTTAATTTCCGGGCTATAAGCCGCTACTTTTTTCACACGCTTTGAACCCCGCAGCTTATGTTGTGGATAATTTATGGATTTTTTTTTTTTTTGACCAGCTAACGAGCTTACTGCCGCCAAAATATTTAGCCTCTTCACACCCGGTTGCTCACATAGCTGCCTAATACACGTTTCTCTTGGGGGTGGGTCCTCTTGACTCAATGAGAATAACTGTAAAAATAAAGGTTAAAAAAAATCTGACCAATGAAATCAAAGTTTCCCCCCTTCCCTGGGGGCACAACAAAGTATTTGCAGCCACTTGATATAAAAAGTGAGGACAGCACAAGCTATAGCAATTGACTTTCTGGTAGGCTACAGTATTTTATTTAACCAGCCGTGTTACTGGCACTGTTCAGTAAAAAATACAAAAATATTTATTGTACGCATCTGTGCATGTTACCGGTATTTTAATAATTAAAAGTAAAAAAAAAATGTTTTTGTGTAAATATCTCATGTTACAACATGGACACTTGCAGCTTACAGACAAGTGTGGCCTATATATGTACTTTTTTTTTCTTTTTAAATTTTGTGGACGCTGCTTATATTCAGGTGCGCTCAATAGTCCGGACTTTACAGTAGTTGGAAAGGTAGCTCAGTTGGAACATGTGAAGGATATAAGGGTTAATAAGTGTTCATACAGAAGCATATGTTGATCGATTGTGCAAGTTTTGGTGGAAATTTGTTCATTTACTGGAAAAAAAACCTATATGATTAAGTAGAAACTGTAAGTCATTTTCTGTTATGACATATGGGAGTATGCATGTGCATACGAGGTGCTGTCATGCTAGCTGTCAGGCATTTGTTAAACCAGTATCCCACAAGGTTGCAATGGTTGGAGGCTAATTTGTGACTCGAAATTCTGAGAAACTTACAAGAATATATAGACAATGTTTCAGTTGCAGTCTCGCTGAATTTTGAATGTTTTCAAACAGCGACTGAGTTTGTACTGGCAATTTTTCTAAATCATGGCCTATGTTTGTGTGCATAGTTTCCAAAACTGTATTCTAGACCATGCACATGTTTTTGTTGCTCTCCTCCGCCTGACACAACTGCCTTGGCCTTCTTTGTCCCCTTCTTGGCAGCTGTTCCAGCATTTGATTTATTCATGTTTTGGACCAGTTTTTAAGTAATTTATTTGTGCGGTTTGATGGAGTCATTTGGAGCGGTAGCCTTGGATGTTTTCTGTGATTGAACATCTCCCATGCTGTTGTCAAAATGCAACTCTTGAATCAGAGAAACTTAATTGAAACTTATCTGAGACGCCCACAACAACTCTGTGGCTATTTAGAGAGAAAATTTGTTGCACAGTTATTCAAACATGTTCAAAGTGACAGTACTGCAAGACATTATGACTCAAAACAAAGAAACTAAGAAGCTTCATGAATGTTTTTTGACATCTTGGAAACTCTTTTGTGAATAACATTTGCAAACTAGTTACCAGTAGTTGTAGCCCAGTGAGACAGTGGTTTTAGGCAGTCGCAGAGTTTTACTTGTGGTTTGAAAACAAACTTTAAAAGAAATGGAAATCTAATCTGCTTTGTAGAGAGGAAACATCAATTCTTATAACTCTTGGGATTGGAATAGGTCTGTATGGATTTCTGACAATATTTTAACATTTAGCAAAAATATCACACTTCCAAGGTATTGTAAAAATAAAGGAATTTAGAAATGTTTTAAACTATTACACCGCAGACTGAAGGAACCCGATCATCAGATGTTGAGACTTGTATATGAACACTAGCACCGGCGTAATGCTTTTATAGCATGTTGTAAATACTACAAATGTATCTGCTGAAATATTGCTTTTAAATGCTCATGTTTGTCATTGACAGGGAAAAATCCTAACCAAATTGAAAGTTGGCTGATTGACTGCAGGTACAGTATGACCTCACCACCTCATTACAGAATCATAGCAATGTTTGTATTTTTTACATTACTGCTTTAGGTTGTTTTCTAAATGTTCTCTATGTTAAAGCATTCTCAGGTATTTTTATTATTAAAAGTGAATTCACAGTGGTTTATTGAAATTAAGCTGAACAGATGTTTGTTGCAATTTTGAATATGGTGAAAGCTGAAACTGTAGAATGTTTCAGACATAGTAAGCATAAACATACGGTACGTGCACATACATTAAAATGCTAAAAAATAAATGATAAAATATGGGTAAAATAGATATTTAAATTATTACAAACTGCTTGAATAATTATCTGGCTTTATATGGTTTTGATGTTTGTTTATGAAAACTTGGTGTTTTGGAAAAGTTTCATTGGTTGTTGATGGTGGTTTGATAATGAGCCAATGCATAGTCTTACGTAGACACACCATGCGCGCGCACAAGCACGCACACACACAGAGCAGACCTACGCCCAAAGATAATCACATAGAGTTGCTGAAAGAAGAAGGAAAGTGAGGCAGAAAAAGAAAGGAGAGTAAAGGGAGGTGTTCATCCTGCTGAGTCAACAGTATTATCACGCATTTTTAACCACTGTCAATCACAACCCTTCAGCAGAGCTTTGATATGCGTGCACCATTGCTGTTGTAATGTCTGCATGCTATGACAACAGCTGCAGGGCTGGGGCCTGAGGGCAACTGCTGCTTTTGGAAAGTGAGACAACTTGCAGATACAGCAACAGTGCATTGTAACACAAGCTACACAATCGCGTATGCTTTTGTATGTAGCTAAAAATGACATGAAGTTGCAAATGTGCAGTTTGTGTAACAGCTTAGAGTTGCTGAAGGCTACTCAGACCAGCTAATTCACTGTTACTTTCAAATAGCTAAATAATCTTCTTGATAATTATCTTGGGACAACTAGTCTGGTCAGTACAAGACCAAAATCAGCATGGTGTGGGTTGGAGGCAAATTTTTAGTTTGAAAGACATTTAAGTGGAGTCAAGTAGGCTCAATCAAATGAGCAGTTAGCCTGAGTTATGTCTTCCAGGCTTTGGAGGCAGCATTGTTAATGAAGCATTTTCTTGACAGGCAGTATGACATAGTCTGACAGCCAGTTATAGATTTTTGTGACACAACTTGACAGTTAGCCATTGAGCACTAAGAAAATTACTGAGCCAGATAAAACTTTCCATTTATTTACAAGCATAATAACAGGTCTAAAATGTAAACTGATATATTAAACTTTATTTTTTTGTACACAATGTAGGGTTTCTTTCCTTAATCAGGCAAAAAATGGTGAATAATTATATCACTTCCCCATTCTACTGCATTTAACCAGTCCAAATTACATTCCAATGTCCTCGCTGTACTGTATATCCTAGTGAGATTGATCAGAGTCAATGTCTTGATCAGTTTTTGCATACAGCTTGAAATCATCCTCTAGTTGCTCTCCACATTCCCACCCAGTTCTCGATTATGGTTCTTAAGAGTTTCAAGCACTCCAGTGTTCATGTGTGTGGCATCCAGTCATAGGCTTTCCTGTAGACAATCTAGGCAGTGCACAGGTTTATGTCTGGTCTTACAGTCTCGAGCTGTAGTTTTACTGATCAGTAGCAGGTGCTTGGATCCCCAGAAGTTGGTGCCAATTTTCTTATCCTTTCTTCACTCAGGTTTTGACTAATGTGCCTATTTAGCTTAGCTGCTTTGATTTCTGATAGGAGCTTCCTTGTTGTACAGAGGCAGGTGATTGGACTTTAGCTGGATGGAACCGCCACTTTCTGGGGGTCTTTCATGATCAATTCAAGACTGTCCAACCTTGGGTCAACTACTCAGTGGGTCTCTCCATTAGCAGCTGGTTTGTGTTGTTTGGTGTTCATGGAGAGCAGTTAATTCCTTTACCCAGTAGGTGTGGATCATGTCAGGCCTAGGTGCAGTTCAGCTCTTCATTCCTGAGACTCTGTCTTGAATGTCTACCACTGCGATGAGTACTGGTTCTTGTTCTGAGAGATTACCGTGTTGAGATCTTAGATCTTATAGCTATGGGGCATTGCCGTTCTGTGATGCCTCTTTCTCCCTTATGCTTCTCCAGTATTGCTCAGTCTCAGCTCTGTGTGGCTCTACTCTCATGTTGTTCCTCTGCTTCTGGGTTGAGTGGTGGCGCAGAGGTTAGAGAAGATGGTCCTATGATCAGAAAGTCGCAGGTTTACCTCACGGTACCATCAACATCAAAATGTGGGTGGAAAAGGTGAAACACCCGCACCTGCTTCCACCCTCATACGCCCCAGTCTGGGCCCCTGAGCAAGGCCCTTTTCCCCCACTATGCTCCCTAAAACAAATCTCTCTTGAAAATTAGTTCTCGTGGCTCAATGAGACTACCTGTTTAAATAAAGGGTAAATGAAAAAAAAAAAGTCATTGGGAGTACACTCTCAATGGTGTGGTGGAGATTGCCCTTTTTCTTCTTCAGCTTCTGCTTAATGTGTCTACCTCTTCAAGCAAGTAGCCAGAGCTTTAAGATGTTTTTTGACTTGCACAAAGTCAAACAATGCTTCAGGTATGACGGGTTGCATTGTTTTCCTGGTGGATCTTTATTCATCGTCCAGATGACCTAACTGAACATTGTTGGATCTTTCTTCATTGCACATTTTTGTTGTTCTGACAGCTTCTACGTAGCAATGCTGGATTTATGTCTTCCATCAGATTTTCAGAGGGTGCTTTGTCACTTCGCCTTGGCAGGGGTGCAATTCTTAGGTGTCTAGCTTCATCACAAACCTTCAGTCTCAGGTCAGCTGCCCTTGTATTCAGTGCCTCAAGGCTTTTTGATGGGGCTTGGTACCCATACTCTGATAGTGAATATGATAGTTGATTTGCCCTGACCTGTCGTCTTGGCTCCTTCTTGAAACAGCAAGATTGACCTTGCCAATCTCTAGGTCAATCTGGTAGCAGGTTGTTGTCTCAAATATTGGAACACTGGTTCCGAGTACATTGTACATTGGGTCCGAGTACATAGTACATTGACTGTAATAAAATATGCAGCCCTAAAGGTTTATAAATTATGTTACCACAAAAGATTAATTTATTCGTCTTGTACTTAAAAACATTGTTGGTTTATGAAAACAGTAAACAGCTTTGGTGTTTTGTTCTGTCTGCTGTTTTTTAAATAATGTTTAAAATGAGTTCACTAACAAGAAATTGTCTTATTTATGTTTTCAGAAATCAGTTTATGGTTCAAGTTAAAATTTAACTCTTCCTGTCTTTCTGCTCTTTGTCCAGCTCTCCAAATGGAACCTCTGTGGATGATCTGAGTGCTTCACCAGGAAAAGGTGGGATGCTGACACCACCTTAGTTCTCTAGACTTTGGTGCTGCCTAAACCAATGATCTTAACTTATTCAAATTTGGTTCAAAAGTGCCTGTGTGGTACTAAAGCTGTTTCATAACTTGAATATATTGTGTGTACTCTGTGTTTCTGTGTCTTGTTTGTGCAAACAGGAACACTCAGGAATGGCTGCAGCTTTGAAGATGACCTTTCACTAGGAGCTGAAGGTCAGTATAAAGGAAACCTTACCATACAAATTAGTGAACAGTTTTTGTTCATTGTTAATAGTTTCTTCTCATAGTTTTATTTATTATTTTTTTTTAATTAAAAAGTAGATTTATATCTTTATTTTCCATTTAAATCAGTGTTGACATTTTAATGAATTTTCTTGTTTTTCACCCGAGTCAAATATGGAGGTTTACATTAATGGGTACCTACCAATGCTAAAAGTTTATATGTGTCAGTGTATATATACCGTATAATGTGTGTGTGTAATGTTTGTGGTTGTTGCAGTGTTTGAGTGTGAAAGTGGATTGCTTTGGTAACCTATTCAGGTTTGGGCTGACATCCATGTTTGGGTCTCTGTTGCTGGCTGTAGACCGACACCATGAGTCCCAGGTTGTTCTCAGTATGTGTAAGGGGAAAGCACTTCCTGTTGGAGGATGATTAAAGTGTGTTCCAAAAATAGTGTGTGACGTGACTCGAGTGCAACTCCATCATGATCTTCTTGCTAGCGCATGATAGCTGCTACAATATGTAAATCAGCCAACCCTATCATTTGAAGAAATTGTGCTTTCAAATTTTCATATTGCCTAAAAGTATAGTTATCTCAAATGATTTGGGTGGCCTGTGTGGTGGCCAAAAATTAATCTATGGTGGTCAAGGCCACCATTGGTCACCTGCTGGCTCCGCCATTGCATTTGGTGGTGGATACAATTGCTCCCTTCATTTGCCTGGATCCCTCACTCTGCGCCTCCTCGGACAAGAAAAAACCCCTAAAACTCTTATACACAGTGTAACTTCTACCCACTTGAATATGTATCTTGCACCAAAAGCTTTAAGGTTTACTTGCATTTCCTGTTCAATTACTGTCCAATAAAGCATTCACCTCAAAAACTACATTCGCTATTTAAATCTCTCAATGACAGGGACATTCATGTAATGCTTGTTTAGGTAGTTATTTCTTTCATTTAAAAAAAACTACTGTATCAGAGAAAAAAAAAGTTTAAGCTCTGCTGAATAGTTTATTTTTGTTTATTTATTCATATTTTTTCAATTTCTTTAAAAAAAAACTTGAAAATGTCAGATTAGCTAGCAGACAAGGGATATTTTTGTTGACACACCAATAACTTATATTTTATTTTATTTATTTTTTCTGCAGCCAATCATCTTCAGTCCGCCAGTAACAAAACTGGACCTCTGTGAGTAATTTTTAGCTTCTGTCCTCACATTTCATTAAAACAATGTGTGATTTCAGTCCCCTCTTACTCAACCTTGTGGATGTACACTAATATTTCTCTGTGTTGTGTACAGTTTTGGTCTCATGGCGGATCAGAAAAGGAATCAGTATAAAGAGAGGGGCAGAAGTATGAACTCAACAGGATCGGGGAAGAGCAGCACTGTCTCCAGGTTAGTTCATACCATTAATGATATTATCTTCTATTTGACACACTGATAAGTACGGAAGGAAATTATGCCTTGTCAAGCTGTTTCTATATAAGACCAATAAAAATATCACTGACTAATATGCTACTTAAGTGTTGCACTTGACCAAGTGTAGGATAAAACTAGTCCTCTGATCCATCCATCCATCCATTTTCTTCCGCTTATCCGGGGTCGGGTCGCGGGGGTAGCAGCCTAAGTATGGTATGGTATGGTATAAAGTTTATTCATTTTAAAAATACAAAACAGTTTCATAACTATATAAAAAATACAGGAGATTTAAAATGAAAGGTAGCAGAAAGAAGAAAAAATCTTATTATATCTGCCCCTTTTTTTTCAAACAATTAATTCAATCATAATAATTTTCAAGTAACGGAACAAAATGAATAACTCTTTCTAATTTTTCTAATTATAATACAAAAAACACACTAAGCTACTTCATATATATATATTTTTTTAACAATTCAGTTTTGATCTTTTTGTTAAATGTACACATTGACTTGGCATTTTTAACATCACTCTCTAGATCATTCCACAATCCAATTCCTTGGATTGAGGTAGACCTTCCCTTGAGACTAGTTCTGAATTTTGGTTTGACAAATATCTCTATCCCCTTAAGATTATAACAACTTTGTCTTTTAACAAAATTTCTTTGCATATTTAACGGTAATGTGTTATTTTTAGCCCTATACACAACTGATAAAATACTGTAATCTACCAAATCATGGAACTTCAATAACTTCAGTTGATAAAATAATGTGCTTGATGGGTGACTGTAATGCTTTCTAATGATGATTCTTACAACTCTTTTCTGTAAAATAAAAATAGGCTTTGTAAATGTTTTACACGCTTTCCCCAAACATCAATGCAATAGATTAAATGTGGAACAATGATTGTGATACAACATGTACAGAGCTTTATCATTTAATAATTCCCTGACTTTGTATAGGACTGCAATAGACTTAGCTATTTTTATTCTTACAGAATTTATGTGGTTTTTCCATGTTAGCTGTTCATCAATGATTACACCCAAAAATTTAATCTCATTAACTCTAAAAATTTCAACAACCTTAATTTTAAACAGATCAACAGTTCTCTTTTTGTTACTAAATATCATGTATTTAGTTTTATCTAAATTTAATGATAATTTATTAAGTTTAAACCAAGTTTGTATTTTACCAAATTCTGTCTTCATCAATTCCAACATCCGTTTTGCATCTTTACCCAAACAAAAAAATGTTGTGTCATCTGCAAAAAGGACACATTTGAGGAGTCCTGATACATTCACTAAGTCATTCATATATAAAATAAATAACTTTGGTTCAAGTACAGAGCCTTGAGGAACTCCACACGTGATATTGCAGAGGTCAGATCTTACACCATTTATTTGTACAAACTGTTTCCTATCTTTTAAATAGCTAGATACCCAGTGTAATGCTGGTCCTCTTATACCATATTTATTTAATTTTTCAATGAGAATAGTGTGGTCAATAGTATCGAATGCTTTTTTTAAATCATCATAAATACTAACACAATATTGTTTTTGATCGACAGCAGTAGTTATTTGTTCTATTAATTCCATGAGAGCCATTGATGTAGAGTTTTTTTTGCTCTAAACCCATACTGACTGCTACTTAGAATGTTTTGTTTAGTAATAAATGTATCTAATCTGATCACAAATAGTTTTTCTAGAATTTTTGAGAACTGTGGTAATAAGGATATTGGTCTATAATTATTGAACACACATTTATCACCATTTTTAAAGAGAGGAACTACCTTAGCTACTTTCATATTGTCTGGAAATATTCCTTTTGAAAATGCTAAATTACATATATATGTAAACGTCTCGATAACATGACTCATTATGTCCTTTACAAACATCATATCCATGTCCACCCAGTCTTTTGATCTCTTATCTGTAAGATTTTTTACTACATTCATTATTTCTTCTTTGTCAATTCCATTAAGAAAAATACTGTTGTCACAACCTATAACTGAATGGTTCACATTATTGTCTACTTTTGGTATTTTAGCTGCAAGCCTTGATCCAACATTCACAAAATAATGATTAAATCCATTTACAATTTCATTTTCATCATGGATTTCATCGTCATCCTTCAAAAAATATTGTGAAATACCTGTTTTTGCTTTGACTTTTCAGAACACTATTTATTACTCGCCATGTAGCTTTCATATCACCATTACTTTTATTTAATAAATCACTGTAATATTCCTTTTTGTGTTTCCTTATAATCCCTACTAATTTATTTTTATACTTGTATTTCTCTTCGGCCTCTTGTGTTCTCAATTTCAAGAAACATGTATACAAATAATTCTTCTTTTTTACAAGCTTTTCTCAACCCTTTCATCATCCATGGTTGGTCAACAACATTTCTCTTTGTATAATTATTTTGCACACAATTCTTTTCATACAGAGCTCCCAAAATATTCATAAACTCATCATATGATCTGTTTACATCATCAACATACACGTCTTTCCAGTTTTGTTAATGTAAATCATCTTTTAATTTGTCCATTGCTTTTTTTGATGTGTTTGTTGTCCATCCATCCATTTTCTTCCGCTTATCCGGGGTCGGGTCGCAAAGTAGGGAGGCCCAGACTTCCCTCCCCCCAGCCACTTGGGCCAGCTCTTCCGGGGGAATCCCGTTGTATCCGAGATCTCATTCTTTTGGTCACAACCCAAAGCTCATGACCATAGATGAGGGTAGGAACGTAGATCGATCTGTAAATTGAGAGCTTCGCCTTTTGACTCAGATCTCTCTTCACCACGACAGACCTGTACAGTGCCTGCTTCACTGCAGACACTGCACCTATCCGCCTATCGATCTCACGCTCCATTTTTCCCTCATTTGTGAACAACACCCCAAGATACTTGAACTCCTCCACTTGGGGTAGGACCTCCTCCCTGACCCGGAGAGGGCACTCTACCCTTTTACGGCTCAAGACCATGGCCTCGGATTTGGAGGAACTGATCTTCATCCTGGCCGTGTCGCATTCGGCTGCGAACCTCTCCAGCGAAAGCTGTAGATCACGATCTGATGAAGCCAATAAGACCACGTCATCTGCAAAAAGCAGAGACACAATCCTAAGGCCACCAAAACGGATCCCCTCAACACCTGGCTGCGCCTAGAAATTCTGTCCATAAAAGTTATGAACAGAATCGGTGACAAAGGGCAACCTTGGCGGAGTCCAACTCTCACCGGGAACAAGCCCGACTTACTGCTGGCGATGCGGACCAGGCTCTGACACCAGTCATACAGGGACCTAACAGCCCATATCAAAGGGCCCAGTACCCCATACTCCCAGAGTACCCCCCCACAGGGTTCCCTGAGGGATGCGGTCGAACGCCTTCTCCAAGTCCACAAAGCACATGTAGACCGGTTGGGCAAACTCCCACGCACCTTCCAGGACCCTGCTTAGAGTGTAGAGCTGGTCCAGTGTTCCACGGCCAGGACGAAAACCGCACTGCTCCTCCTGAATCCGAGGTTCGACTATCCGATGGACCCTCCTCTCCAAAACCTCCGAATAGACCTCAACAGGGAGGCTTAAGAGCGTGATTCCCCTGTAGTTGGAACATACTCTACGGTCCCCTTTTTTGAATAGGAGGACCACCACCCCGGTCTGCCAATCCAGGGGAACTTCCCCCGATGTCCACGCAATATTGCAGAGTCGCATAAGCCAACACAACCCTACAACATCCAGAGCCTTAAGGAACTCTGGGCGAATCTCATCCACCCCTGGGGCCCTGCCACCGAGGAGCTTTTTAACCACCTCGGTGACCTCAGCACCAGAGATTGGAAGGCCCGACCTATAGTTCCCAGGCTCCACTTCCTCAGTGGAAGACGTGCAGGTGGGATTGAGGAGGTCTTCAAAGTATTCTGCCCACCAACCCACAACATCCCGAGTTGAGGTCAGCAGCACACTACTCCCACTATAAACAGTGTTGGTGGCGTACCGCTTTCCCCCCCCTGAGACGCCAGATGGTGGACCAGAATCGCCTCGAAGCTGTGCGGAAGTCCTTCTCCATGGCCTCTCCGAACTCTTCCCATGCCCGAGATTTTGCCTCAGCGACCACCCGAGCCACATGTCGCTTGGACTGCCGGTACCCATCAGCTGCTTCCGGGGTCCCACAGGCCAAAAAGACCCGATGGGACTCTTTCTTCAGCCTGACACCATCCCTCACCGATGGTGTCTACCATCGGGTTCGAGGGTTGCCGCCGCAACAGGCACGACAACCTTGCGGCCGCAGCTCTGGTAAGCCGCCTCAACAATAGAGGCACGAAACATGGTCCACTCAGACTCAATGTCCCCCACCTCCCTCGGAACATGTTCAAAGTTCTCCCGGAGGTGGTAGTTAAAACTCTGTCTCACAGCAGACTCTGCCAGACGTTCCCAGCAAACCCTCACAATACGTTTGGGTCTGCCAGGTCTGATCGGCATCCTCCCCCACCATCGGAGCCAACTCACCACCAGGTAGTGATCAGTGGACAGCTTCGCCCCTCTCTTCACCTGAGTGTCCAAGACATGTGGCCGCAGATCAGATGAGACGATGACAAAGTCGATCATCGAACTGCGGCCTAGGGTGTCCTGGTGCCAAGAGCACATATGGACACCCTTATGCTTGAACAATGTGTTCGTTATTGACAATCCATGACGAGAACAGAAGTCCAACAACAGAACACCACTCTGGTTCAGATCAGGGGGGCCGTTCTTCCCAACCACACCTCTCCAGGTCTTACTGTCATTGCCCACATGAGCATTGAAGTCCCCCAGCAGAACAAGGGAGTCCCCAGGAGGTGCACTTTCCAGTACCCCCTCCAAGGACTCCAAAAGGGTGGATAATCTGAACTGCTGTTTGGTGCATAAGCACAAACGACAGTCAGAACCCGTCCCCCCACACGTAGGCGGAGGGAGGCCACCCTCTCATTCACCGGGGTGAACCCCAA